AAAATTCTAAATTTTTCGCTGAAATTTTTATTTTATTTTCAAAAAATAGGAATTATTAAAAAAAAAAAATGAATGGTGCTAGGATCGAACCCTAGCCTTCAGCGTGGTAAGCAAGCACGTTACCGCTAGGACAACGCGCTATTACAATAATATAATTTTATTAGTAGTATATATTTTGCAAAAAAATCGTTTCCAAAAATGTAGAATTTTTCAATTTCACTAGATATGTCCTCAATGTTAAAATATTTAGTTTTTAAACAATATTTCTATTGATTAGACATTTACAAAAGAAAAAAATAGGAATTAATTTGAAAAAAAAAAATGAATGGTGCTAGGATCGAACCCTAGCCGCCCGCATGGCAGGCAAGCACGCTGCCAACTAGACAACGCGCTTTTTATAAAATTATAATTTCATTAGTGGTATATCTTTAATATATTGAATAATTTTTTTCATTTAAAATGTCACAAGATGTGGTTTCCTCCTTCCGCTCGTTCTACAGTCGGTTAAATTGCAGTTACAAATAAAAAATACATACAATATAAATACAATAACAATAAAATTCAATAAATAAATACAATAATAAATAAAAAACAAAAAGCATTCCTGCCGCAGAAAATAAAATACACCCCGTGGACTTGATGGACACCCCAGCATTGCGTGTGGCGCCCTCCCTCTCTTGGGGTGCAGTACTGCAATGCCGGTGGGGTCACTCAAACCCCCAGAAGTGAGCCTCTACTGCAGTCAATCCTCTTTGAGGTCTTCTGTCCCTCCATTAGAATGAGATGGAGACAATAAATCGCGTAAAACACTGTCACTAACAATCGTTATGTGGTTTAATCGTAGAATAAAACTGCCACAGGAACTCCACAACTCGTGAAACAATATCTCGATCATTTTTTTTAACAATCTGGATGCTGTGAGGTGCCAACAATGGCTCAATCTCTGTTCGATGCGTTGACAGGTGAGAACGAGAGTTTGACGTTGCTAGGGTTAGATTCGGAAGTCCTCGATGACTTCTTAAATATTCCAATTATCTGAGTGAATTCCAAGTAATTATGGTAATTATCGGTTTCCTAGGGGTGTCCCTGGACAGTTCAGCAGTGCAGTCCCTGCTGGAATCCCAGACTCTCATCACCGAAGTTGAAAATTCAGGTACAAAGACTCCCCAGTATTTTATACAGAGCGAATTGAATCGAAATTCAAACGAAATTTCTCCAGCAATCGAGCAAGATGACGATGACATCTTCCAGTGTGGCAAGTGCAAGTGTCAGTTCACGTCTCTTCACCTGTTTCTCCTCCACAAACGAGAGCACCTGAAGCCCCCTGAGGAGACAGTCGATCTCTCCCAGTATCTGGTGCCGAACAGTGTCGAAACGTCTCCAGAAGACTGCCAACAGTCCCAGTACAATCCTGAGGAGAGTTTCATCCAAACTGACCAGCTGACAGAGCCAATAATTCTCGAGGAAACGGATATGCTCTTCAGCATGGACCAAGAGGGTGCATATCTCACCTCAGACACTGGTTTCGGTGTTCCCATTATTCTGTCAACGGAAAACCTTGAGACCTTCCACCAGAGTGCAACTGATAATCTCCTCAAGGACGAACAAATGCTGACTGATGCCACTTCCCTCAGTAATATCAATCAAATGGAGTCTGAGACTGCCCCAGAGCCACTGGACCAACTCGATCAAAATGAAACACCAGAGGATAATGAGAGTCAAGCCACTTCACCTCAAAACTTCAAGTACAAATGCAATTACTGCAGTAAACAGTTTGCAAAAAAATTCTACTGGCAGCAGCACGAACGTTCGCACACTGGAGAGAAGCCTTATCAGTGTGTTGTTTGTGGTAGAGCTTTTGCACAGAAGTCCAATGTCAAGAAGCACATGTCATCGCACAAAGTCTGGCCCGGTAAATTCATCCTTTCCTCAATAAAAAATCTGCAATGAAAAAATTTTTCAATTGTCTCGTTTTGTTACTTAAAAAAATAATGTTAAATATCAATCATTTTAATTACAGGCACAGCAATTCACTCACTTCCTCCAGAAGCCCCTCCAGATGGAAACATAGACCGAACGTATCACTGTCAATTTTGCAAAGAGATATTCGACTCGTACAAAGCCCTGAAGGCCCACCTGATTGTCTCCCACATGACCCTAAAGGTGTACAAGTGCGTCCAGAGCTCATGCAGCATGATGTTCGCCGAGCTCGACGACTTCCTGGAGCACACACGCAGCCACAAACGCTCCGAGTACAGATGTCACGTGTGCGGTCAGGTATTCAATACCCTGAGTGATCTCGGTCTCCATCAGTACGTTCACTCCGTCCAGAAGCAAAAAACAACAGAGAAGTATTACTGCTGCACCGTCTGCAAGAGTTCGTTCTCGAATTTAGAGGCACTGCAGCATCACACGGAGACGACAACTCACGATTACGCCTGTCCTCACTGCGGCAAGAGTTTTTTAATCGAGAGATTTCTCAGGAGGCACCTGAAGACTCACGTATCATCAGCGAGATTCGCCTGCGAGGACTGTGGCAAGGCTTTTAAGACCGAACAGTACCTGGCGAATCATAAATTAATTCACAGCGAGGAAACGCCTTATATCTGTAGCCAGTGTCCAGCTAGATTCAAGAGGAAGGATCGTCTTGGCAGGCACATGCTCATCCACGACCTCACCAAGAGGCTCAAGTGCCCCTTCAGGGGCTACCTCGGCTGCATGAGCGAATTCTCCAGACCTGATAAACTCAAGAGGCATCTACTCACTCACAGCAATATCAAGAGGTTCAGCTGTGGACACTGCAACAGAAATTTCTCCAGAGCTCAGGCTCTCAAGCATTATGAAATTAGTAAACACAGTCTCAAGTGTGACAGCTGCTCTCATGTAAGATTTTTTAATTACTTAAAAAACATTGTATCTCTCAATTATTCATTTCATTCCGTTGGGAAAATTTTGAGAATTCAATGAATTAATTGAATTTTTTATTTGCGCAGATATTCAAGAGTAAGGACCAACTGGTGACTCACAATTGCGATCAGAATGGAGAGAGCAAAAAGCACACGAGCTCGCAATTACCTAAAAAGGCATCCGGTACTTTCAAACCGCGGAAGCCAACGCCAAAGAGACAATTACCCCAGAAAACAAATCCTGGGATTATTGATAAGGAGAAAATGAAGGCTGACGAGTTGGATAAGAGAATTGTAAGATAAATAATTATAAAAGAGAGGAAAAATTGGAGACGAGAGGCCGATATATTAATTTTATGGTAAATTAAATTTTTTCAGTTATCGCCAGAACCTTCGAGGCTCAGTGACACCGAGGAAGAGTTCAGTGCGAGAGCCCCAAGTGATTTCTCAATCACGAGGGAAATCGGATCAATGGACTCTCTCATTGAATCAGCCTCCCCCGAGCACATCAGATCCAACATCGATTTCCAATCAATACAATCAAATGTCGAATGGACTGAGAAAAATATCACCGCAGATCAATCAAAACAAAAGGATAATAAGCTTTTGAATGAATTCTCATGAGTGAATATTTTCCTCCGTCAAAACTTTTTGATATATTTTTAAAATAGTATTTGATCACTCGTTTTTAGAATCGTAGTCCACAATTGCCATAGCACGTGCAATGAGAGAATTATATCGGTGTTTTAAGTATCATTGACGACGCATTTTTTGTGCCCAATGCATTTTACCAGTTTTTTTTTTTAGATGGACATAGGTATTAATGATTTTGTAGCTTACATATCTGTGATATTTGTATTATATACGTGAACGTAACTTATAAATATTTCTCTAAGAGTCTATCCTGTATTTTTCGTTTCAATCCATTCGCATTGAATTCATTTAGATTATTTTTATTTCCCCTTTAATCGTTGTACAAAGGAAGTTGTTATCAAAAAACCACATCCGCCTGGGATTTCCGAATTCCCAGGGATTCCGTCTGCAATTTACCTAAACGCACTTTTGTGAAATTCAGTTTGAAAATGCCTTCTGGAACGTATCAAGTCTCTCATTGCGAGGAGAATTCGCCCCCGGAGGGGAGAAATCGAAAGAAATTCAGGGATCGGTACTACACGAAATGGACTATTTTATTACTTACATTTGCTGTAGTGGTTCTTCTCATAATCGCTATTTCATGGCCTTTTGATAGATCTTCCAAGGAAAAGAGTGATAACGTCCAGAGTCCAGTGAGTGTCCTCAATAATTAATATAAATATTAAATAGCTGCCCTAAATATTTTTAATTCATCGCAATTAGAATGAACGATATCAAGGATCTCAGAACCCAGCAGCAATTACAACGAGAGCGGATATCGAATTTATTTCATCGACATCTTCAGGAATTGGAGAATCCTCAGATCGATCCGGAAGATATCGAGGATTCACAACAGAAACGGCAGTATCGAGCTCCACTATTAATCCTGAAACAAAAAATAATAATTACACCAGCAGAACTATCGATCCAGGAACTCCTGGTGATATTTTCATGTCTCCAACGATTGAAGACACGTATCAGCCCCTAGAGACTTCAACATCTCCCACAGAGTCTTCTACATCTCCTGCAGTTGTACCTTCGGCGGAATTCGAGTCGACTACAGAATATTATGATGAACAATCGATTACTCCAGGAGGAACGACAATTAGTGAAGAGTTTTATTCATCTACGGAAGCCTCTGAATCTTTCTCAGATTCTTCACAGAGTTCTTCAGGTGCAGACACGACCTCCAGCTCTGCAGATCCATCGACGACTCGAGCCACTAGAGATTTCACCTCATTGAAGAGATTAATAGTGGCGAAGTATTTCGGTAATGATTCGTCAACGACCGAGGATCCCTCCAACGACAACTGGCTGGATGATCTCAACATGAAAACATCTACAGAGGAAACAATAACGGTGAAGGAAGCGGAGACCTCCACAGGATCCACTACTTCCACTCCTGAATACAATAGAGATGTGACTCCTCCTCCTGAAGACTCGAAACCACTGGGTAATTCCACAACTTGCACTGGAAAATGCAGACAGCAATTCAGCAAAATGATGGCCTGGATGAACCACTCGGCAAATCCTTGCGAGGATTTCTATGAATTCGCTTGTGGAGGCCTCGAAGCTGACCCTGAAATGATAATTATAACTCCAGAGGAGAGAGCACTCTCAGTTATCAAAAGTAAATTATCCGTAACGTATTCACCTGGTGGATTTTACTATTCGCTAGCCGAACTTGAATTATCTCTCATGTCGATGATTATTTTTTTCGTTTTTTTAATTCTCTTCTTAGAACAGATGCTGAGGGAGATAACTGAAGGGAGAAGTTCTAGATTCTATAACTATTATCAGAGTTGCGTGGGTTATGGGAAGAATACGACCTTGAGAGGTAAATTAATTAATCATAATTACCTTACGGTTATTAGCAATTCGCGGCGATTAGGTGATTTATTATCCTTTTGCAAATAGGAATTATGCTGGACTCGATAAGACAACTCTCACAGAATGCTATTTCTAACAATTTGTCTGTAACCAGGACTTTGAAGGTCTTTCAATTCCTCTTCGATATCACTACAGCCATCGATGAATCAAACCCCCAGGAGTTGATCCCTAGAATAGGAGCATCACTGCCGAGTATTGCCCTCCAAATCTTCAGAAATGATTCCTGTGATCCTAAAAATATCAGAAGAGTCTCTCTTGATCTCGATGAGATGTACGAAGAATACAAATCCTGCAAAGTCAGTATATTTTATTAATTAACTATTAATTTCGAGTTAATTTCAATTTTAATCTCCTTTCTTTGTACAGAATAATACAAACGAGCTGTTAGATGCGATAACTGAAATATTCGGTACAGAATTTCCCCTCGACTTCTTCAGAACGCTCTTATCAGTAACAACAAAAATTATCACAAAATTTTTTCGCACTAAAAACATCATTCAACATTCTTTCTAAATAGTCATTATTTTTTATAGGATTTTCCATCAGAGAGTGAAATTCGGGAAGCGTACAGATCGAAAAATTACACGTTAATAGCACTCAGCGATCTCCAGAAACAATCTACATTAGTGAGTCTTAACTCTGATTTTTCTTGTCATTAAAAAATAGAAAACAAAAAAGTCTTATCACAATTTTCACCTACAAGCTATTCCTTGCCATTTGAATAGATATCTTGGGGGGAATTATTGTTGGACTTGACTGGAGTACGTGCCAACAACGACACAAAGCTACAAATTTACTTTAAAGATAATTTATTTCGCGCATTGAGGAGAATCGACGACCACAATCAACGTCACCCATCGCATCTCCTTAAATTTATAATTGCTTTCAACGCTGGTAATATCTACAACGAGGTAGATCGTTTAATCCAGAGCTAATTAAAAGCATTATTCATCATAAATTTCTATTTTCAAAGTTGCAACCGGTTTTGCCGAGAGATTTGGAGAGCAAGTGTTTGAAAATCACCGCCAACTGGTGGCTATCAGAAGATGCGTCCTATCTCTACATGTCATCTTTCACATATGACGAATTGAATACTATCAAGTCGAAGGTAAAGTAAACGCTAAGTGAATATTGAATTGATTATTTCATTGACGGAATAGGTTGCAGACATTTTTAAACAACTGAAGCAAACTCTCACGTCAAAATTGGAGACTATATACTGGGCCTCGCCAGAGGGTCGAGATGCTTTGATAAAAAAATTAAATGATATTCAAATTTCCATGCCCGAGGCTTCTTACTTTGAGCAAAAGGAAAATGAAGTTTACCCTAACTTCATACAGTACTTCTTCACAAAGCGACCAGAAAATATAAGTGATTTAAATAAAACCCCTGGTAATCCGCAAATTCTGAAATACTAGTGAGTGATAATTTTTTTTTGAATTGAGAAATAAACTGAGATAATTCGATAATTTGAAATAAACTAATCAACTGTGAGATAATGAATAAAAATGATAATTTACAGCTGGACACACTTAGCAAAAGCTTTTCAACCACTTCCACGGTCTCTCCACTCCCGCAATTTAATTCTCGTCCCTCTAGGTGCTGTGGAATCATTACGATTCACAAAGACCAATGAGAAATACGATTACATGACACTGGCGAGTGTCGGCAATCTCCTGGCGCACGAGATTGCAAGTTATTTCGACGTCATTGGTAAAGTATCATTAAAAGCTAATGACTATTATCGCTAGAGATAGCCTAAGTACGTTAAAAACGTAAAAGTTGTCTCGAAACAATAAAAATCATGAAAATCGAAATGATACATACGAAAATGTATGTATAAATCATTGAGCGTATGTGTAACAGATTAAATAATTGATGATTCGATTCATTTGGTTTAGGTATTCAGTACTGGGATAAAAGTCGTGGCTCTCCCTTCCCTTCCCTCAAACACGATGATTTCACACGTAGTAATTATGAAAACTATATTAAATGTCAGAGAGACGAGATCTTTAAATATTCAACTGAAATTGTAATCCCTGCGACTAATCAGCTCGTTAAATTAATGGTATCTCTTCATTTACAGTTTCTATTAATGATTAAGTCAGATTCAATCATTCCCTACTGATATTTCTTTTTAAAACAGATCCCTCCACACACATTAAACGAGAGACTCTCTGATGCTGCAGGTGTGAGACTAGCTCACGACACTTTCCACAGACTAGCTGCGCAAAAATCAACCCCCTGGCTAGACTTCAATAACGACCAGCTTTTCTACATCGCATACGCTCAGGTAACTCTCGAATATTTCCCTACAGCTAATTTTCGTAATGCAACAATTGTCACATTCTGCACAATTTTTATTTCTCTTAAAAATCTATAAAAATTGTGCAGAATTGCATTTGCATTTGTTCAATGGCGAACTTGCATAGACCAGTGGGAAAATTAACTATTAAAATGAGTCGTATAGACTTTTAAAATTCTCTGAAACTTTGAATGGGAGAAATTTGTTGGGAAAATATAGACTCGAGGTGAAACAGTGAGAAACAATCATGCAAGCTTTCAATTGAACATTTCTCTTCTGTCATAATCTTTGAATTTCTATAAATTAATTTACAGACACACTGTACAAAGGCACCACTCACTGCTTCGTCCATCTCATTGCATGAGAATCCCGAATTACCGAGTAGACTGCGAGTTTATGCAGCTGGAATAAGCGACAGGAGAATTGGAAGAGCCTTCGAGTGTCCAGAGGGTTCTAAACTATCTCCAGATTTTTCCTGTGGAGCTTTTCCCTACATCGAGGATCCCATCCCTGCAGCTTAATCTCCATTGTAATATTTATGACTCGCACCTGAAGACCTTCAACCTGACAAACTATTCCTAATTTCACAGCGTTTTATTCTCTCTTTTGTCCTATGGCAATTTCATCAGGATATTCACCACCTTTGGAGCTATCAATGATCAGATGGCACGACTAGAATGTTCCGATGAGTTTGATAGTGAAATGCGATTACACTCCCTTTTTTCCTGAGCTAGAAGCCTCCACAGAGCTGTCTTCAGCGATATCCAATTGCCCTGGAATTTTAAAAATCTCGTTTGTTAAAGGAAGTGTCGACTCTTTCGAATAATGATAAAGCAAACCAAATATTACGAATTTAAGGAAAAATTCATCTTGAATTTAATGATTTTTCCTTCTGTATCAGATAAAAAACTGTCAAACAGGTAAGAAAATTAAATTCCTAAACCTCTTTGAAGGCTTCCTATCACCAAGTGTAATCAGCAAAGCGTCAATAAAAATTCACGCTATCAACAATGAATTTCCTGTTATTACTGAAACATACCATCACACGCAGCTGTTTCGACTCGACACTTGTCCTGTTGGGTCGGCGGGTTAAGCTTTTCCGTCTGTAAGTGAAATATTGGCATGCACAGAGCACACAAAAAAAATGTTAGTTCCAAAAAATGAAAATAATCCAAAGAAAACTGATCCAGTGGGAAGTGTTAAACGTCGATGACTCATTCACAAAAAAAGGACTCATAATTCATCTAGTTTCCGTCCTTCACCACTCGATTCAATCGAAAAAAAAACCCGACATCAAACAAAACTCAACCAAAAATTAATTCAACTCAAACTTGAATGAAATAAAATATTATCCTATGGAATAAACCGTTGAGTTCATGTTTCATGACCAGTTATTGATAATTTAATTGAACTCAGCCTGGTTAAAGGATACCTCGAAGTATTTATGCCAGAGAACGCAACCGTAGACACACAGGACTGATATTAATGACTGACAGAGCAACCAGACGATGATGTTGACAGCCTGAGTCCTCTCAAAGAGCTCAGCACCATGTCTTATGCAGAGTAGCGCCTCAGTGACCATTATTGCACCATAGACCCAACACTGGGTACCAACTCGACTGCATGTAGGGTCTGTGACGTACATATAATATTGTCTGCAAAAACACCAACCGATTCAGGCTAAGAACATGAAGTAATTACCCACCACTGATTTTCAATCTACTCCACAAGAGCTGAATAAAATATTTCAATTGATTTCCACCTAAAGCAACATAAATTCCATTCATTTTCGCTCTAGAAATGAAAATAAATTAATAATGAAGGAAAGGAATGTGAAATGAATTTTTGTTGAATCAATTTTGGAATAAAAAAAATATTAATTAACGAATTAATTAGATCGACAGTTGAATTACCTGACTGAAGGCGCTACGATGACCCCAACGAGGAATAATCTCGAGATGACAAAGGGATGCGACGGTGGAAATTCATAAACGTGTTTAAGAAAAAACGTGTTCAACTCAGAGACCTGCCAGAAAATAACTAGTTGGCACAATGCAACAAAACGCATATACGTGCATGTTGGATCGAGCCATCTGGTAGATGTCCAGCTTGCCGGTGTGAATTGTAGTACAGCACGTTTTAACTTGCCAGTTGTACTCTCGATGTCCCTTATACTGACCCACTTGTACTCACGCATCTCGAGAATCGAGCAGATCTTCAAACCCACCCAAATACCTGTGAAAATGAATACCGATTAAAAATATTCTCATTGGATATTTACTCCCAACAATTAATTAATTCAATTCAATTAAAATAAAAATTACCAAGAGCATTGCAGACAAGAACGTCCAATATCACAGCATCCCACCAGCACTCGACAAAATTCGGCAGTAAATGTGCGAAGGCCATTTCTGTGAGTTCCCACATGATGCTAGTAGCCCATAATAATCCCAAATGTCTGATAAGTACAGCTTTAAACGTCCACCCAAGGAAATGAGCCACAGCAAAAATATCCAAGTGATTCCAGATCTTCTCCACATTAATATCAGAACAGTTGACCCCATACTCTTTATCCATATCAATGCGAAAAGTCGACAGCTTCGGATCGACCCAAACGAGAATTTTTCTCACTGTTTCGTAGCTCTGGAAGAGCATGAAGAGTAGCATCATGAGGTAGAGGACACTGCAACCAAATACTATCCTCCAGACTGCTGGATGGGGACGTGTAAACGGGCCATTTGGAAATGTCAACACCGATATTATCAGGAAGAAGAATATAACGCAGTGAATTCCTGCCCATATGTTGTCATTCTCGTTGGTGATGTCTCTGACAAATGCAAAATAAATAACAGCACCGATGGAAATTAGGAGGAGAGTGATTGTGTGAGGTGTGTAGAAAAATTCAATCGAGATGTCATCAACTGGTCTCTCATTTATATTAGGAAAACTGTCTGTTTCAGTGCGCAATTGGTGTCCCTCACTCTTTTCAATGTTGCTCACACTTTTTTCATCATTGTCATCCTTTTTCATTCTTCTCTGTCGTAATGAACCCGTGGGTTCATTGTTGATCGCCATTTCGAGGTCAATCTTCGATATTCTCTTGATATTTCACTCGATTTTTTATTTAACCTCACCTCACACCTCCTGGGGGACTGGGGGTGGATTTTCTGATGAATTTTCCACGTCTTTCACTCAGGAAAAGGTCAAGGGGACTTTGAGAGTCTTCTGGGCTGCGTTCTCAGCCCCTTTAATTTAATTAGCAATCCGGGGATGGATTTGGGGTTTCGATTCAATAAAATTTTTGGCTATGTCCCTCGGGTTGTGTGTCGTTAACAGTTTTGAAACATTGAAATTAAAATTTATGGCTTCTCCTCGGTTTATCGTAATCGCGAATTAATCTGTTATGGTTTTCCTCATTTTTGTTACACAAGACTAGATTTTGTGGGATTTTTGGGGTTAGGCGGAAGTTCTCGACTTTGAATCGACCAATCAGGGACTAGTGAATCAGATGATCGAGAAAAGGATGGAGATACCTCTTACAATTCTCTCTTTCTGATAATAAAATTACAAAAAAGGAGTTACCACTTGGTATCGAGAGAAAGAATAATTGTAACTAAAAAAATTAGCAAATATTCTGCTCTCATTTAATTTTCAGAAAAAAAATTGGATATTCTGAAATTTTAGGGGATTCCCAGAATTTTGAAAATACGCGGAATAATGGAGAATGGTCCGCATTTTTGGGGGATGGAAATTTTGAAAATTGAATTATAAAAATTGATTGAAGAGGATTTCGAGAGCATAGAATTCTGGGAATGAGATAAAAAAAAATTCTACGAACAGGACGCGACACGGAGAAACTGGCGGCGTGTGTGTGAAAACGTTTCGATATTCAAAATGCTCCAATCACCTGTGAATTCTCATTGTGTCAGCCAATCCTGTGTCTTCCCGCTCCCCCAGATGTGAAAACCCAGGCCTCTAGTCAGTTCCTTGTGTTCATCTTCTCACTTGGATACCGACGCCAGAATAAAAGCCGTCAGCAAACACCACCGGAGGTCCAGACAGCTCCCAACATTTTCTGTCGAATAATTCAATCAAAAATACAACCACCAGGAGAAATTCCAGTCCACCTCTAATACCTCAGTCTCTACTAATTCAGGTATGTTGAAAAAATTATTTTATAATTTTATAATAAACCTACGCAAATAGTTTCTCCCTGTTGACATTCTAAATATTATATTCATCTGCACCGAATTAATTTCAAAAATAAAATATCCTATCAGTCCATTGAATTCAAATCGTCTTGACAGATTCTTGAGTTTTCAAATGTTGTTATTAAAATTATATTCGCTATTAAAATTAACGAATGACAGAAAAATTCAGGGTTTATTTGTATATTTTTCTGTAAATTATTAATACTGATTTTCGCAAACAAATGAAATTGATAAATTTTTAATGATGCTTCGGAATTATTTTTGATGTAGATATCGACAGATTGTAATCATTTAGAAAATATCTGAGACATGAAATATAATTGATTATTCTCATATCAGGGCCCACTCGTTCGTTCTAACAAAGAGGCGAGTGCACCTGGCCCCTTCTGACAGTAAATTCCCATTCCCAGAAAGGAAAGAGAGAGGATAAAGACTATTTTTGAATGAAAGAAGTATTTTTTTTATCATTTCGATTTGTTGTTTTCCCTTGGGCCTTGAGGGATATCGATGAGTCAATGACTTCGAGGTCTAACTCATCGATTCGATTGTTGATTTTTATTTGCTCCCCTTTGTTTCCATCGATTCTCCGTTCGTAATCGAACGGCTGTCGTCTGCCTTTGTTTTCTGGTAGGCAATTCTTTTTCTTTTTTTAATGTTTGCGTTTGACGTGGGTTTTACAGACAAGGGGTAAAGATGACAACCACTGCTGAGACGCCTGTCATGAATGAATGTGAGTATTTTAATTACTGCACTAATTGCATTTCAGGTGTTCAATGCGAGAATTAATTCATTGATACATTTTTTTAATCTTGGGTGCAGGAGATTATTTTTTCAATTAGTTAATGGATTTCGGGGATTTTTAAAAAGTGAAGTGCAGAGTAAATTCATCAGAAAAATTATAAAATCGATGGATCGGACTCGACACAATGGAAAGGTGTGTCATGCTCAGGGATCCTTAACGAAATATAGTCTTTTAAATTCGTGGAGTGACGGAAGTATTAAGGTTCATTGACTAAAACAAATTTCCCTCTTCGGTTATTGTTATTAGGGACCATGTGCCTTGTCTTTCGACTCTCCCCTGCATCCGGTGGTTGGAGAACAAATTGGGGGTTCGAAATTGGGAGATTTCATTGGACAATCATTTTTACATCAGCCCAACAGACTTCCGCCCGAATTACCACTCTTTTTCCCTAATTATTACGAATAATTCATAAAAAAAAACCGCATTACGCATAAAAAATTGCAAAAAGTAATAAAATCTCACAGTAAACCCTTGATTTCCCTTGAATCCAAAGGAGATATCAAAATTTCTGTAATAACCTTTTCTCTGGCTTTCAATTAGCTCTAGAAAAAAGGTAATAACAAAAATTTTGGTGGTATTCCTAAATTCGGAGATATTCCCCGAAAACTAGTCGACCTGGAGTGACTGGAGAATATAGTCTGGAATAGATTCTCGTTTAGAGTTGATAGAAGAAGGATTGCTGTTTCTTGCAATTCGATTTCCTCCCCCGTTTCTCTGACAGAGAGAAAAAAAATGTCATGCTGTTTTATGCACTGAACGACAACGTAAAAAGGATCAGGGGTCATAGCCCTCTCTGTCCTCGAGGTCCAAGTATTCCGCACATATAAACCAGATAGTGAACTTTGAGGTGGCAACTGCAGGGTCCTCTCCACTGCAGTCGCCAAACTCAGTGGTTCTCACCGAGAATATATATATTTTTTTCGGCAATTCTCCATCGATCGATTCCGAGAGATACCTTTCGATTAATTTACCCCGCACCGAGTGCCCCGTAATTAGGCACCACCAACTAGGGCACTTCCTCAGCTAAAAGTACTTTCAGAGAATTGAGTTTCGATTTGCTCACGAAAAAGTGAATATTCCACTCGAGAGATACCAGAAGTAATTATCACAATTCCATCGAAAACCCGAAGCCCAAAATTTGGAGAATATTTACAAAAATTCTTGATCTTATAAAAATTGAATTCTAATAGAATGAATCAATGTTGGGATTGATTAATTAATTGTATTAAAGTAAATTGATTGTTGGTAATAATTTATTTATTTGTCAAATTAGCTTTTGGGGTGGTTCATATGAAATTGTGAGTTTTTGGTGAAGTCTTGTTGAATTTATCATTCAGAATTTGACTTAAATTTATGCTCACGACTTGACTAACCGAGGTCCACAGTGCGTGGGGTAACTTGATTCTCGTCAAACCATATTCGTAAGAATGAGTATCAGTGTCGAGTTGAGACGAAGGTTTCCCTCGAGAGAAATCCCGATGAATCCCCATGATTAATTGATGGCGAGTTATGATAATAAAGAATGTCAGGGCGTTGGAAACCTCGGGGAACTAGTTCATTCTCCCAAAGGAGTCAATCTTGAATTATTCACATTTTCTATTATAAATAAACCATCGGGTGAGTGGAATTGATGAGAGCGGAATAAAGCTGTTGGTTAATGGGGTGAAACCGTTGAATTTCTATTTATTCACGGGACAAGATTCCTTCTGCATGGAGAAAAAGGAATTGTCATTCCACTTTTAACCATCGAGTTTCACATATTTTAATGGAAAAGAAAATTCACTGCTCGAGTTATCCGCTGTCACTTTTGTCACTCTTGTCACTTTTGTCATGACCATTGTACCCTTTACGGATATTTTATTAATATAACTTTCGTATTCCATTCTAACTTCCAGGAATTTATCCAGAGGAAATCCTCACGTCGAGATACTTCATCGATTTCTTTCAGAAATAAATCCCGAGAATAATTCATCCACGAGATTCGATTGAATATCCAGATGAGATCAATATGACAGTCAGTGAGTCGAAGCCCTTCAATCCCCTCTCAAACCTTTTCTCCCTAGTGTAATTCTAGGTAGCGATTTCTCCGGAAATAATTCCCCCCAAGATAGCACAGGGGATAAGGAGTAATCCCAGAGGCCAATGAAGGCCCAGGATTAGTCGGAGGTGTTGTGTCGACATTTTATCCCGCGTTAATTATTCATCCGGTGCTTTCTTGTCCAGAGGGGAAAAGCTACACCTGCGGCTCGACAATCCAAATATTTTCCCAGAACTTTTCGCAAAATTTTCTGACCTGTCACTCCATTCAGAAATTATTTTCTTCATAAATCAGTGGACAGTCGATCAATTTAAATCATTCATTGATTTTTCGATAGAATTGTTTATCGACTGGAAATTTTGTAATTTTGAAAATTCTGAGAGAAATTATCTCTGGATTCGGGGAAGAGGCTGCACACGTGAGAACCGGTAAAAAATTCCGGTATAGAACTAGGGGTAGGTTTGGTAGTGGTGTAACGAGGGTGACGAGGGGGTGGATATTGAGCGACGCCCGGCGTCGTGGCGCAACCGTTGGATCAGTCACCCTCTAGCCACCGCCCCAGGAACATCAGTTTTTTTAAAGCTCATCCCGATATACTACCGGAAAGTTTCCCACAAATTAAAAAAATTAAAAATCCCATTCCTTTGAGACTAATTTCTTTTATTTGATTACTTGGTATCGAGGAAAATGTTGATCGATCTCGTCCGTGAATCCGTGTTGCAGTGCTTCTGTCACAGCTGCAAACCACCCCTGAGTGTCGTAGGTGAGTTATAAATGGGGTGGAAATTTATTATCATCACCCGGCTTCATTTCACGGTTTATTAGTTGCTCGTTGATTTAATGGGGGGTAATTAGTCACTGAGTCGCGGAGCTGAGGGAAAATTCAGAGATCAATCATGACCCGTCATGTCGAGTTCTTCGATAGTTTTTTTTTTTTTAAGATGAGAAAAATCGGGGATTAATTGGATTACGACCAGCGGGAAATTTGGTGGTACTTTTAAGGGACATTTTGCACGAAAATTCTGTCCTTGGGGTAAATCCCAGGGCCGTTTACACGCGACCATATTTTTACCCGCAGTACCCGGCAACTCACCCCCTGATCGATACACGTACGTTCAGG